GCTAGGGTGTTGTGCATGGTTGATCGGCAGTGCTAGGGTGTTGTGCATGGTTGATCGGCAGTGCTAGGGTGTTGTGGGTGGTTGCTAGGATGTTGTGCATGGTTGATCGGCATTGCTAGGGTGTTGTGGGTGGTTGCTAGGGTGTTGTGCATGGTTGATCGGCACTACTAGGGTGTTGTGCATGGTTGATTGGCACTGCTAGGGTGGTGTGGGTGGTTGCTAGGGTGTTGTGCATGGTTGATCGGCACTGCTAGGGTGTTGTGGGTGGTTGATCGGCACTGCTAGGGTGTTGTGGGTGGTTGCTAGGGTGTTGTGCATGGTTGATCGGCAGTGCTAGGGTGTTGTGGGTGGTTGATCGGCACTGCTAGGGTGTTGTGGGTGGTTGCTAGGGTGTTGTGCATGGTTGATCGGCAGTGCTAGGGTGTTGTGGGTGGTTGCTAGGGTGTTGTGCATGGTTGATCGGCACTGCTAGGGTGTTGTGGGTGGTTGCTAGGGTGTTGTGCATGGTTGATCGGCAGTGCTAGGGTGTTGTGCATGGTTGATCGGCAGTGCTAGGGTGTTGTGGGTGGTTGCTAGGATGTTGTGCATGGTTGATCGGCATTGCTAGGGTGTTGTGGGTGGTTGCTAGGGTGTTGTGCATGGTTGATCGGCACTGCTAGGGTGTTGTGGGTAGTTGATAAGGTGTTCTCAGTGCTTCTTAGCATGCGGTTTAAATAAACCATAAGATCGAAGGCGTCTTTCAAGTTAAACGAGCATAAAACGTGCAGAATGAGTTATGTAGAGTTTAATGTTTAGAGTAAAGGATGTAAACATTCCCTTATACTCACGTATGAGCTAAAGTAACAGTTTGTCTGATGACCTTTGAAACACTGTACAGAGCAACGTGGCACGAATGTTTTTACAGATTCCCACTGCTGACAAAATACCTAGAAAACTAGGATACCAAATCTGCTTTCAGAGCATAAAAAGACAAAAGCTTTGTGATATTCGAAACCTGATTACTTTAACATTGACCATGACTAACAACAAAGACAAAAAAACTACCCAGCTTTGTTAAGTTGTTGGAACTCACTTCATTTCCTTGTGCGAGAACACGTCCAAATCCTCAGGATTATTGGGATGAAAAGGCTTTGGTCTAAAATGTACAATTCATTGCATGTCGGCATTCGGCAATGATTTAAATGCTTTATGGTATAGAAGATTTCTTGTACTGATCATCCCAGACAAAAAATAGACAGCAGCAGATGGCTGATCATGCATGTTATTTGTAATCTAGTGCAACAGCTTTAACTGGGCAACCCCCTTCCCCAAGAGGAGACAGATGTGCCGAACTCCCATTTGTATAAATGCCTCTAACAATTTGTTGCACAAGTTGCTGAGAGTGTCAGGGGCCCTGCTTTTGGGGAAGTTTACTTTTCATAGGTCGTTGACTCGGTTTAGATGTTTTTGCCAGATCAGTGCTGAAGTCTGTCAAGCTCGATTACTACAAAACAGAGCATTTCTTTAGTCACACACAACTGGCCGACAAGAACAAAAATTTAGTGACTAAACCCATCCATATTCAAGATGATCAGGAGAAATAATGCTTTAGGTTTTAAAGAAATAGCTCTGTAACTAATTTTTTTTTTTTTTTTTTACAAATTAAACGGATACTCAAATATGAAAATTCGAAACTTAATTTAACATAATTTGAGGAATGACAAGTGTTTTTTTTTGTCCAAACAATGGAGGTCAATGGGCTCCAAAATGGCTCCCACTTTTGCAGAGTAAAAAAACCATGCAGGTTTGAAACAACTTGAGGGTGAGTGAGTAAATGATGACTGAATTTTCATTTTTGGGTGGAGTAAACGAATAATAAGCATCTTCATGTCAGACCTGTATGTGTTTACTTTCATCAAACAAATCAGAAGATATTCTGAAGAATGTTTGTGCTGCTCTTTTCCATTCAACACAATCGCAACCCAAGGGCTGTTGCGATATTTGAAAAACCACAATAAAGCAAGTAACATAGAAGTAGTCCATCCATATGAAGCAGAATCGCAGATGCATTATCATGTCTTACGATAGCTTTGTATGCAGAAGAGAATGAAATGCTAAAAAGTTATTTACTTAAAATCTTTCCCTCTACATGGCATGTAAATGCATGTATACCAAATACCATGATGCCAAATTCCATTTGTTCCTGGGTGTCTCATAACACACTGAGTTTAAATAGGCTATACGTAAAAGCACAAGAGAACTAAGAGCTACTGCGACAGCTAAAGTTTTACTTTATAGTACTGTTTTCTGTCAATTAAAACCCTGCGTCTGTATTCACCGTATGAATTAAATTTATAAATGATTCTTAGAGCAGTGAGTGATTTTCTCTTCTTTTTAAAGCTGCAGTCCGTAACTTTTCCTCTTTGTCGCCATCTCTCTGTTCGAAATCTGTAACTGCAGTGATTCGCGGAATTATCATCTTTACATGGGTTGTAAATCGGCATGAAACAGCGCGGATGAACACAGTGCTTTGAGGCGAGTGCTGCTGTCAGTCACCGCGCTGTGTGGATACTGTCATACAGAATCACAGATTCACTTTTTGAAAGTTTGACCAACATAAGAATTTTCATAAGAAAATGTCTTCTGAACAAGTAACATCCATTTTTGTTCTGACCAACTAAGGAGGAAAAAGCATTCGACATGATAAGCTTCGTTAGATTTAATCAACGCGATTTACAGCAACCGTGCAAATTATAGCCTACTGTTCTCAAATTGTTCATGTTAACAACATCAGCATTGCGTGACTAATGTTAAATTTAATGTGTTTTATGGTTACCTGTGTAGTTCAGAATTCATATTCTCCATAATAGCAAAACGAGAAAGGCACAACAAAGGAAACTCCATAACTGTGTGAATTAAGAAAACGTACTGTTACACGATTGAACTATTGAAATGTCTTACTTGTTCAGCAGAAAAAAGCCGTCTCTTCTTCCGTTTCGAACCCCTTCAAAACACGGAGTTCACGCACTTTTCAAAAGCCCCGCCGATGTTTAATCCTTGTGTTCGCATGAGACGGTTTCTTTCTCTTTCTCTAGCCACCTTAAATCCGAAGTACGAAGTCTTTTGGGTTTTATAACTGCTGAATATCCAGTTGACACTGATGATTGTTGTTTGGATCTTTCTGGATGCCATAAGTTTAATTATGTAAAGTGCTGCGAGAAAAGCCTATACATCTAAACATCTCGTCACGCGCAGTATAGCCGGCTAGCCGAAACTCCTTCTTTATGTGTACGGGTGTGACGTAATGACGCAAAGACATGCTCGAATTTCCCGCGGAAACCCACCAGTACCACTGGAATTAAAATCATTATTACAAGCTAACCGTTTTGAATCTAGCTATGGCAAGCAGATAGTTTTGACCACTGGCAGAATAAGTTTTGTTTAATATAATTATTTTGGATTATTTTTAACTTAAAAAAGCTACGGACTGCAGCTTTAAAAAATAATAAAAAACAGACAACAGCAGTTATATTAGGTTGCTGTCTAGGGATGCACGATATTATCGTCACAACACGTAAAAGTGTACAGATGACCCCATAATAAACACTATGGGGAATATGACGATATGCCTTGCCGATATGGTAACGTGTTGATATGCGCCTGCAACAACTCGTGTGCAAGGAGGGCTATAAGATCACATCAGCAGTGTCATTCTTGAAGTGAACTTTTGCATGTATGGTTATTATATTCACCACAAGTTTTTGATTGCTGCTTTGAATTTGTGAATGCGACTACAGAAGGACACATCCATTGTGTGATAGCCATCAACAATCACTCTCTACTCTCTAGCGCGTGCACTGTAAAAATGATCAATAACTTACGACAACATATGTTTTTACATTGCTTTAACTCATCAAAATAAGTTAAGGTTAGTTTTTAGGTTTTTTTTTTTTTGCTTGACAGTATCCTTCACTTTCATTGTATGGAAAAGAGCAACATGAACATCTACAAAACATTTTCATGTTCAACAGGGGAGCGAAACAAATCAAAAAGATCTTAACAAAAAGTGTTTATAATGGGGTCAACTGTACACTTTTACAGTGGCATTGGAAATACATTCGCTCTGTAACAGCCCTCGAAAAGTAGGGGAGTGGGTGGCAGCACATTTGCAATCAATTAGAAGGGCATTTACCCTAGTTGTTAGATGTGGCTTTACAAATACGACCGTTTGTATGACTCTCAAACAGATCTCTGACACACACCTTCGCAAACAGCATAAATGCATGTCAGCCTCACAGGAAGAAAACCTTTGAGTCGTGGGACAAGGCAGCAAATAAATGACAAATACTGGATAACCTGCAACCACAGACTGACCCACGAAACAATGGCTTTCGTCTGAGCAGAATGAGGCCATGGGAAGGAGGGGTGGAAGCTCTCATAAGCCCTGTTGGAAACTCGCAGTCATTAATCTGATTAATGTATAAGACAACAGAGCGTCTACAATATTTCAACTCCAAAAATGCCCATTAATCCATGCAAACTCTTTCCAACAAGGGCATTCTTTCCAACAGGATCTTTCTCCTCTGCAAACAACATGGATAGAAAATAAATCAGCAAGGCCAGCTTATTCCCTTAGGGAAAACATGCAATCCAAATGGTCTCAAATTGTAAAGACATTACTGACCTATATTTCAGCCATGCTGATTAATCACATAATATTTTGCCATTTTGAGATTAGCGCATTGGAATAATACAGTAACGCTAGTGCCCACTTTGGTCAATGAAGGGGGATTTTGCTATTGTGCTAGTTCAAAAATCTACCCAACATATAAAGATTTGAGTAAGTCTTGTGTAAAATAGTTTGTCAAAAATGTGTCTTATTAATATTAATTATTGGAAAAACCCATACTGTGGACGCCCACTAAAAAAGATGCACAATAATTCACACATGGCATAGAAAAGAAATGCAGCGTAACATTTGCAAAACAAGATAGATGCAAAGTGTAAAATGAGGAACTTACCAAAAGCAAAGGAGAATGTTATAAATTAGTGTTGCTTTGCCCAAGGACACGGCCTCTTCGGTGGCCCTGTGAGAGGAAGGAGATGTTAGGGTTTTGTCAGGTTTTAGTAAGCCAGAGAAGATGTAAGCAGCTGAAAGAGTCTCCGGGTCCACTTAAGACGACAGGACAGTAAAGAAAGCAGAAGGTTAATATAAACCCGGGCACTCAAAGGTGGCACATTCTGATATGAAGAGTGAAATGCCACACATTGAAGACCTGAAGAGGCAATCATGAGGACGCTGGAAAACGCCTCGGCTATGTGCTACTGGCCCCAAACCTGACCTAGTCGAAAAAGTCAACACCTTATGTGAGGAATGTCCCGGGTTCAATACGAGTTAAGCTCTATGGAGAGCATCTGGCATGATTACCTCAGAAAAATATATAGTAATGCACTTGCAATAAACAACTTAAAAGGTTAGTTCACCTAAAAATAAAAATTATCCCATAATTTACTCACCCTCAAGCCATCCTAGGCGTGTAAGACTTTCTTTTTTTTAGCCAAAGACAATCTGAGTTATATTTAAAAGTATCCTGCCTCTTCCAAGCTTTGTAATGGGAGTGAATGGTACCACAGATTTTGAAGCCCAAAAAAGCGCATCCATCCATCATAAAAGTGATCCATAGGGGGTTAATAAAGGCCTTCTGAAGTGAAGAGATGGGTTTTTGTAAGAAAAATATCAATAATTATATCTTTACGAGCTATATTCACTAGTTACAGCCGTCCGTGAGTCTAGTTCCGGTGGAAGAGCATTACATGACGTAATGACGAACGCGGAAGTCCAGAGGATCGAGCAAAACAAAAAAACATTATTTTTCTTACAAAAACGCTTCGCTTCGTAAAACTCCAATTGTGTTTGACTGAAATTAAAAAGTCATATACACCTAGGATGGCTTGAGGGCGAGTAAATCATGGATAATTTTCATTTTTGGGTGAACTATTTAAATACGTCATTACCAAAAAGAGAAAAATTCACCCACACATAACCAGATGCATCTAGAATAGTGTTCTCACTACTTTGGTGGTGAATTTTTACCACTTTATACTATAAATTAAAATAACTGAAAGATTAATATAACTGCTTTACCAACAATACACTAGGCCAAATCAATCTTTTTGGTGGTGAACAACAGTTTACAACAAATGTGATCTATAAAACAATTATTTTAGACACTGAAAAACCTAACATATTTGGGAACATTTAGAAATGGTGCTACATGTTGTATATAATATATTTTGATCAATTTAATTTGATTATAGCAATTCATATTTATCCATATTCAACTACACCGCACAACATGAGCTGAAAACATTACACTTCTTCCACTGTAGAGCACAAGCTCCCTCTCCAAAAAGAAGCCGAGTTTGTAATGTGACATCACCCATGACATAGATCACATTCCTGCTGTCAGGTTCAGGCACGCTGGTCTAATTAGACCCCGAGCAAACGACCGCTCACCTCATCAGGCCCTCGCCTGCCTCGAACACTCCCACTAAACCAAAGTAAACTAAACTGCTCGCCCCAGCCGGATAGCTCAGATCTAGCAGATTCACATTCTTCATTGGACGAATAAAGCAGGACTGGGTAATTGCTGCTGTTCTTCAAAATATTAAGAGCCAAAATGTTGCATGAAATGATTGGACTGTGAAACCTAACAGATTTGGGAGCACTGGCTAAATGTGAAAGGCCCACTGTTACAGCTCATGACACATGTGGACACGTGGATTATTTCACCGGCGGGAACCATGCCTAATTTCATTAATGAGTGACTGACAAAAGCAAGCCGATGGAACTGAACGTTCTTCTTGAGGCTCGTTTCAGAAAGTCAGTGAAAAAACGATATAGGCTTTATATACAATATCTAAACAGAAGGTGGCCGATATAATTCTTTGAGACATTTTAAACAATATTTACACAAAAAATAACAGCATTTACTATGTATTGACAATTTGTGATTGGCAGCTATGGAATTTTTTTCTTACTCCTGGTATTAAGACGCGTTTTGATCGATCGGATCACAAGTAGACGAGGGAGACCCATTACCGTTTACACCTGGTGTTTTAATCCGTCTCTTTTGACCACTTTCAACCACTTCTGTCCTGATTTCTTTTAGGGATGGGCACAGTACTCGATCACTCGAGTACTCGAACGTGACAGCGACGATCGATCATAGAAACGATGATCTGAGTTAAAAAAAAAATTCTTTTTTTTTTCTGATTGGTTATAACAGCATTTTGGGTGGGACATTGAGCTCTGATTGGTTAGCGTTACCAGAGCGCGGTCCAAAGTCCAAACTGAAAAACAGAGAAAATGGCTTCAAAGTCACGTAGTGATGTCTGGCTTCACTTCGACAAAATAGACGAAAAAACAGTTCAGTGCGAAATGTGCTGCGCCAAGCTGTCACACAAATCTACCACAAGTAAGTACAATGCGTTATCACTTAGTATTTGTACATAAAATGTCTTCCGATACCACCAATGACGCAACTCAGACGAGCATCGCATCTTTTACCGTCAGACAGAAATGCACCGCAGCCAGAGGTGAAAAGATGACACAACTAATCACCGAAATGATAGCGAAAGATTTGCTGCCCATTCGTTTCGTCGAAGGAGAAGGGTTTAAAGATTTGATGAATTATGTTGAGCCCCACTATAACGTCCCATCGCGCAAGACGGTCACGAGACGAATAGAAGCTCTATATGAAAAGACTGCTTCTTCACTGAAAGACAGACTGTCAAAGACAGCGAGGATGGCTATCACTACGGACGCATGGAAATCGCCGACCACTGAATCCTATATAACACTAACTTGCCATTACATTGCGGAATGGGAAATACATAGTGCAGTGTTAGAGACGCGCAGTTTCAACGAACGACATACCGCTGTGATATCCTTTAAATTGTATTCAGAATTCATTAATCATGTGTTTTTCAGTAATTTAAGTCAGTTTTACTCTGACTTAAAGGTGCTCTATGTAACTTTTAGCGGCCTCTAGTGGTGATGTTTCAGATTGCAACCAAATTTTACAAGAGCGCTCGTGCTCGAACTCATAGACAATACCATCTATTACGCAAATATCTCGGCGAATACTTGACGGATTCGGCGAGCACCGAGCTCGTTGGGACCATCTAGTCGAGCTGAAAAGAACCATATAAGTTCCATAGTTTTTGGTGGTGTTTTCGCGGAGATATTAGCAGAAAACCATCGGGCGTGCTGCAAAATTGCGGACCCCGGTGACGTCACGATCTTAGAAGAAAATCGCTCGTATCTCTGGAACACAAAGACCCAGAGAGCTCAAATTCGGGGGAGGAGGTCCCAGGGGAACCCTTGCCCGAACGCTAGAGTGGCGGGCCTCGGGGACGCCCCCTACTGGATCGCCGTTCGCTGGGACCCCCGATTTCGAACGGCTATAACTCGGGGAGCCGGGCGAGTTGGACCTCGGGGGTGGGCTCGTTCGAAAGGCCCCGTCCAGCACTACGAACGATTAGAGTCTTGGGAATATTGATCAAAGATTGACTGCGATATAAGCCGAAAAACGTGCGCCTTTAACCGGACGTAACTCCCTGACCGTCTACAATAGACTGTATATAAGGAGAGAGGCTCGGGAGCGCGCATGCACGTCACATCCGTTGGATTTCGCGGTAAATCTGACCCGGAGACTTCACATAGAAATAGGAATACTGGCCTTCAGAGGTAATAGCAAAACTCGACAAGTGGATCATTTTAATGTGTGATTACAACCCCTTCACACACAGGCAATAAAAAAAGGATTCATTTTAGTAGAAAAGCACCTTTAAGTGTAATTTTAGCCAATATACTGTAAAAATAACATTTTGTTCTATCAGAAAGTGCTAATGTAAGCCAAAATATTTCTAAAATATTCAATTGATATCATTGTCTCCATGATGGACATGCCTCTATGCCATTATGCTACCGTGTTAGTGTGGGGCTATTTTGAGCCTTGTTAGTGGTATTAACAAGCGATTTTTATTTGTCATTGATCTATGCCCAATATACTAGCGTTATACTAGCTTTATAGGCTAAACTGTTTTTAGAGATAAAACTATTTACATTCGATAATCATGAAAACAAATCTCAGATAACAGTTGACTAGGTAACAATGTGTAATTAGACCAAAGGTTCATTTTGCGCCAGAGTTCTCCTTTAAGGACAGCTCAATATAGCCCTGCTCTCAGAGGCTCAGCGCACTCGGTGTAGGCATGAAGAAAACAAAGGCATTTTTGTTCTCCTCCACCCAATGTCCTCCAGCACCACACACCACAACAGAGATAGTTTCCTACGTTTGCCCCAGTGAGTTTAATCTAAAGCCGGGTTCACGTTCACACTGTACAATTTTGGCCGCCTGAGAAAAATTGAGAATCCAAAAAAGATTCTTCTGATCCTTGGGTCAAATTCTGAAGTCTTTGATCGCTATTTTTAACAAACAACCGATTATTGAACACTGCGATTTAGTGTTGTCAAAAATATCGATTTTTCGATAAATATCGATACTGAAATATCTGAACGGTACCAATACTAATTTCCAGAAGTATCGATACTAGCCGAGCGGTCACTTTCACTTCTCTCCAAAGGTGCGTTGACAAACACCACACGTGACGCACTCGTCTCATTCGCTCTGGTTAAATAGCAAAAATGCAGTGAATTTGAAAGATGGCGAGGGCGGCGCCCCCGCGACCGGCTTTGGTTGATTGATAAAGAACACGGACGCGGACACGCGTAAAAAAACACTCCGCGAGCGGGCATGTCGGAGTCGGAGAATAGCGCGGACACGCGCTACACACCGCGAGCGGGCTGCGGGCACCCAAAAGATTGTTTGCTAAAACAATCCACTGCTAAAAAAATCCTAAAGGAAACACTGTAACTCTTCTCGTTTTAACTTCTCTGAAACATTAACCAAGATGGTAGTATTGTTGTTGATATGAGTCTGTGTTGTCTCGTTTTTTCACAGTAATTCTTAAAGTTAACATAATCTGACTGAGGAATCTTAGACAAGTAAATATTGTAACT